ATATTAATTATTTTTATTAATTAAATTAAATAAAAATTTAACTATTTTGGTGGCCTTAATAAAGTTAATGATCGGTATAACCATAACTAAGAAGAAGGATGGAAATATTATATGACATCATCCAAAATCTAAAATTAGGGTCCTTTCCTAACGACTTGCAGTCTGGTACAAATAATAAATTGGGGGAGTTTTTTTTTTTTTTTTTTAATACTTGAGATGAAAATAGGTTACATAACAAAAAAAATAGTTATTTTCTTCCCAAACCCTCGACATCCATTAGCAGAATTTGAACCTGATACAAATAGTTATAACATAGGTGTTTAGACAAAATTTTGTTTGGAAAAAAGAAACCAAACGAAGTTTTAGGGATTTGTTGACAACAACTAGAGAATAATTTATGGTTTTTCACTAATAAATGATTGAATAGGGTGTTTAAGATCATATTTATTATCTTAAAAAATCACCTTGAAATATAGCAGGTAAGTCAATGAATCACCTATTTTATTTAAAGTAAGAAAAAATTCTTTTAGCAACTCGCTTCTTTTTAGGTGTATAATATAGTTATAAATTGATGAAAGAATATTATGAATTGCATCTTAAAAATCAAACAATTGAAAAAAAATGTAAAAATAAACTTTCTAAACAAATAAATTAAAAAGAAAAACTGTCTTGAATATATTCCCAAGAACTTCACCAAGTAAATGTACCTAGAAAGAGCTAAGGGCGCAAAAAAAGAAAAAGTAAATAAATGCCAAATTATTGGTAATTTAAATGAATTTGTAAATATACAAATTAAATGAGAATAAAGCTAAATAAAAGAATCTAAATAAAATAAAGAAAATGTAATTAAATTGGTTGAATCTAGAATCATTAGCAGTATGAAATATAATCTAATAAAAATAAAATAGAATATGAATCCGAATAGTAACATTCCTAAATTAAGAAAAATATATTAACAAAATTACTTGCAAAACTAACAAAGAAAATGAAGCATTTCAACTATAAAGGAACTATCATTAGGAATAACAAACGTTACCATATTATAAAACTATTTGATATAATAGTTTGAAATCAATAATTATCAATTTTTTGTAATTTATTAAATAAAAATATTTGAATTATTAATAATAATAATTATCTATTATTATATTAATCCAAATTACTAACTATTAATTTTAAATCATTATACTAAACATCCTATACATAACCAACAAATTGGGGTTGAACTACTTTTTCATATAACTTCTGAAATTCTTAAAGGTTTGGAAGGAAATGACATTATGTTAATACTAGATGCTAATGTTGGAAAAAGTGAAGAGTTAAGACTAAATTATAAAGTCCGAAAATCGAAATATTCCTGTATTGAAAGGTTGATAGTGTTCGGTTAGCTTGAGGCTTGAGAGAGGTAGACCGTAGACCTGCTTTACTTAGCTTTCGATTCCAAATAACCCTATTCCACTTGTGTATGGGAGTTTTCTCCAATTTTTTTATTTTTTTTTAAATTGTGAATTTTATTTAATTATTATATAAATTTGTTAATTTACTATTTAAATTGTAAAATATATGTTAGTTTGGATTGAAAAAAATCGGAGGGAAA